GCCTGCAGCTGCTTTTTACTCTGCTTGGAATGCTCTTGGCCCAGATGTCTGCATGGCTCACCACTGGGATTCTCACCATGTGTCTACTTAAACATCACCTGATACCCCTAAATACAAAAGCCACCTTCCCCCAGCAGGAGCCCCCTACCCTCAAGCTCTCCCTATCCCCTATTTTGCTTCATTTTCCTCCACAGCACTTGCCATCTGATAGATTTTATTTACTATCTCTGTCCCCAGCTAGAATACCATCTCCAGAAAGCAAGGACTAGATAAAAGCCTGGCACATAATAAACAATCTGGAAACAGTGAGGGGGAGGGTGGAGGAATGATACATAGGACACACCAAGTGAAACCTTTGACTTCAACCTATAATCTTTTCTCTTGTCATTATTTTTGAACTGAATAAAATTTTTTATTCTTGAACCTTACTTGACTCCCTGGACAATGTAGAAGCTGACATTAGTCATTTTTCTACACTCGCACTTTTTAATCTCTCACCAACTTGTCCTCTTACCATGCTCACCTGGTAGGTGCTCAATGCTGGCATTCATCAACGTCAATTCCATTTGAGCTGCCCAGACCAGGACCATCACCTGAAACTGCTCCATGTTTGAGATGCTAATCTCTAAATCCCACACTCTAATAAGGACTTCTGCAACCTTTTCCCAGATTCTCTTATATCCAAACTCCCTACAATGCGTTCCCTAACTTCTCAAGCATTTTTACTTTCTGGATTTGTATGATCTCTCTCTTCTTTCCATTTCTACAAACTCTGCCTTGGTACAAGCTCTCACTATCTCCTGGCTAGACAGCTTCTCCTAACTGTTATCTCTGCCTCCAGGTGTCCCCTTCCCTAGGCAGATCCTACATATTGATGCCAATCAATCTTCTAAAAGCAGAGCTCTCAATCTGCCCTATCTCATCACGGGGAGTTGTAAGTCAAGTAAAATGAACAGAGTGGTACAGGGTTTCATTCTGGGGAGATGAAAACATCCTAAAATTGGTCACGGTTATACAAGTCTGTGAATACATATGCACATATATATAAACCATTGAATTTTACACTTTAAATAAATGAATGGTATAAAGCTAATTTTAAAAAAGTAAATATAGGACAAAACATCCCATTCACTATAAAGTGATATATAAAGTCATTAGCATCATACAGTAAGCACCACAAAAGCTTACTTTACATATGATTCTTTCTAATCTCGCAAAACCAACATTAAGACACTCAAACAGTAACAGAGTGCAGAGGCAAATGTCTGTTTACTTTTCATATGACTGGCTGATAGAAAACCTTCTTTGAAAAGCATTTAATTTTTGCTTTTGCTGATTTGCCTTGACAATGAACACATTAGTATTATTTTTTAAAAAACTATTTTAAAAAGCTTAAGGAGGATGGTAAGGCATCTGAACATCGTGCTACCACTAAGTAATAATGGTGGTAAAAAACATACGGCAATTCTTAAAAATAATTTTCAGTGTTTTTTTCATGAAAAAGCTTAAGAACAGTATAGGGAGGAAAGTGTCATGGGTTCTGTCTATATCTGGTTATTGTCACCTCCAGCTCTAGAGTAGTCCATCTCTGAACTTGGAGTTTCAGGTGCCAGGGACTAAGGCAAAAAGGTGAAGAGGTCAGAGCTCTAGCTTTAAACCTGGGCCTGCAACCAAGCCACACTAAACCAAGGGAATCGATATCTTCGAAATCCTTAAAGTACGTCCTATGTATGGATTTGGTAATAAGGCAGATCTGATTAAGTTCTCTATATAGAATGTACTTATAAAATCAGTATTATGACTATTACACAGACTATGAATTAGTATATCAAACTCACATTACAATCTCAGAAGCAAGTGTCCTTATGTTATAGCAATAAGTAAACTATCCATTCGGGTGAGGATTTCATTCCCCAATCCTGCCCCCTATCCCCCCAAAAACCCCTCCACCTGACTATAAAACACCAACTTAATTCTCACAGTAGACAGATGTCTATGACATGAACGGAACATACCAGAGTTACATAATTAGCTAGTATTTATATCAGGAAACAAAGCAATACAAGTGGAGTTGTACAAGGGTCAACCTACATCTGTGTCAGGGCAAACAGACAAGGATAACACACTTGATCTCACAGACTCTACTCTTGTACTCGTCTCTACTGGAGGTCAAAATTTTCAAAATCTTTAAAGGCCAGACAAGTAAATGTGAAGGCCATGGATACAGTATAACAGGAAACTGTAGGGGGGAGGAGGGACTATGGTTCTTGAAAGAGTATAAACCCCACCGAAGGGCATTCCCATTCAATGAAAAACAAAACAAATAAGTAAAAATAAACCAAACAAGCAAGACAGACAAAGATCCCCCACTGTTCTAGTCAAACCACCACATCTGCAGGTCCTGGGCTTGGGATCACTTGCAGGATCATGGACATATTTCCCAGCAGCTTACTTCCATCAATGACAGCCACATTTGCCAGGTCACTTGCATTATCTCCCGAGCTCCGATCAGTTGTCCAATGCCAGTCATAGCAGAGGTAATGCCAGCCCTGACAGAGAACATGCAGCCGGTATGGGGTGACCGTGTCCCACATCAGCGACACAATCTTGTTCTTCCCACAGGTGCTGAAGGGCAGACTTTGTTTGAGATACCAGTGATAGTTTCCAACAGTCCAGAGCTGAACTGCAAAGGAAAAGGAAAAGGCCTTCAGAGGCCAAGGAACCATACTTCATACCACATCCTAGAGGGAGACAGGGGCAATCTTCTCTTTTTCATAGGACCCTCCCTGCTCAGTCTCTTCATTAAAATCATAATATAACAATAATAATTGTTAAAAGATAGTTTTCCATGGAGATAAAATGTCAAGCATCAGTAAGGTCAGAAATACTCATTTATTTTCACCTTTACCTTCAAACTGCATGATCATGATGGAAAGCTAAGTAGGATAAGGTAGTGTTTTACTGGGTTTTTCATGAAGATTTAGGAAGAAGAGAATATGGCAATTAGATTAATAGTATTATTAATAAAACACTCAGTGCAAGATCCGGACTAGCATCACTATGTTGTACTAGGCTTAAGATGCTTATTTTCTTCCAGGTGCTTTGCATGCAACTATGTCCAAGGCTATCTGGTATTAACTATAATTCAGCTGCCCAAGGGAGATTAGCATGTAATTATCCTTTCCAAGATCTATTAAAAGAACACGACATAATCATGCCCAAATCAACCTTTATTAAACAGATGACACATACAAATTAAGATCTTATTATATTATGAATTATATTAAGGAATATTGGTTATATTAAGGAATCTATTTTCATAATCTGTTCACTAATTCTTAACTTAGCAATCACAGCAAATATAACATAGTCTCTGACCATGTTGTTAATATACTTCTATGTAGGCACAGGTTGGTAAGTTAGACAATATGCTAACGCTCTGTGAGGATAGCTATTATAGCTATTATCGTGCAGTATTTTTACCCTGAGCATCTGACAGTGCCATCCCTTGACACACTGGTCAATCAGTACTTTTTAACTGTGGCTATATGTTAAAATCACAAGGGAGTTTTTTTTTCCTTTTAATCTAACACTGATGTATCATCCCCATTCCAATACACTGAACCCAATTCTGAGATGAAGCCTGGATATCATTATATTTTGCTAAAGGTACAGCCAGGGTTGAGAACTATTGTGTTGAATGAATAAATGAATGAATTTCTTAATAACATTTCAGTCAAAAAGGTTCTATTGATTAAAGGTTTGAAAAGCCACTTAGAAAGTAATAAAGTAAAAAGATTTATGAACAAAAATGTTCAGTGCATTGCTATTCACGATAATGAGAAATTATAAATCTTTAAGTGTCTAACAGCACAAGATCTCATAAACAGGCACAAGAGATTACACAGCAATTTAAAATGATACAGATGTACATATGTTCATGAAATGGAAATATGCTAGCGATACAGAGTTGAAGCAAGTTACAAAACTACATGTATCATACCTACATTTTTAAGAATAATGAGATCGTAGCTATACTGAGACATATACTAAAAAAAATCTAAAAGAAAAATTTTAATAGTGATTATCACTGAGTGGTAGAACTATGAGGTATTTTTCTCATTTTTATTTTCTAACATTTTCATATGTTATTTAATACTTAAAAACACGTATTTACACATTTTAAAAGGTATAGAAAAACTTTTTTTTTTCCTTTGGAGACAAAGTCTCGCTCCATCACCCCAGCTAGAGAGTACAGTGGCATCATAATAGCTCACTGCAACCTCAAACTCCTGGGCTCAAGCAATCCACCCACCTCAGCCTCCTACAGGCATGCGCCACCATGCCTGGCTAATTTTTTCTATTTTTTGTAGAGATGGGGTCTCACTTTTGCCCAGGCTGGTCTCCAGCTCCTGAGTTCAAGTGATCCTTTAGCCTCAGCCTTAGAAAAGATTCTTACTTAATCTAAATCTTCCTTCACTTCCACAGTATTCCTTTGGTTAGTGTTTGATTTTCCATAATAATACCATCCAAGAAGAGAAAGCACTGATGACTTATGATGGGTAATTTTACGGGTCAACTTAGCTAGCCCATGGTGCCCGGTTGTCTGGTCAAACACTAGTATAGATGCGGCTGTGAAGGTATTTTGTAGATGTGATTAACATTTACTATCAGTTTACTTTAATTAAAGCAGATTACCCTCTATTAATATAATATCCGTGGGTCCCCTTCAATGAGCTGAAGGCCTTAAAAGAAAAAACTGAGGTTTCCCAAAGAAGGAATTCTGCCTCAAGATTGTAACATGGGCATCCTAAGTCTCCAGACTGCCCTAAAGATTTCTGCCTCAAGACTGCAACATCAACTCTTACCTGAATTTCCAGCCTGCCCTAGAAATTTCAAATTTGCCATCCCCTACATGACCCAATTTCTTAAAATAAATTCATCCATACCTCTCTTACTCGCCCTCTCTCCCTCCCCCCAACCCCTCTTTCTCTCTGATATAAATAAAACTGACCTTTGAGCAGTACTAGTTTGAACTGTGTGGGTCCACTTACACACAGACTTTTTCTTTCTTCTTTTTCTTTTTTTTGAGACAGGGTCTCATTCTGTTGCCCAGGCTCGAATGCAGTGGCGTCATTACAGCTCACCACAACCTCAAATTCCTGGGCTCAAGTGATCCTCCTGCCCCAGCCTCCCAAGTTGCTGGACTATAGGCACATGCCACCACACCCAGCTAATTAATTTTTTAAAAATTTTTGTAGAGACTGGGGCTTGCCACATTGCTCAGGCTAGATTCTTTTTTTTTTTTACTAAATACAATAGGCCCTCCACATCTGTAACTCAAGATTGAAAATACAGTATTTTCAGGATGCAATACCCAAGTACACAGAGAAGGCCAGCTTTTCCTATCCTAGAGTTCTGCAGGGCCAACTCTGGGACTTGAGTACATACTTGAGTATAGATTTTGGTATCCCCAGGCAACCCTGGAACCAATCTCCCCAGGATACCAAGGGACGACTATATATACACACTATATATACACACACTATATACTTATATATAGTATATATACACAACTACACACACACACACACACACACACACATATACATCTCCTACTGGTTCTGTTTCTCTAGAGAACCCTAATACATGACTGAAATCCATAAATAATCAACACCTAACCACTCCCCATCTCCATCTACCCACTTCACCTTCTTTGATTCCATTAAGGGACTAAATAGAAGGAATGAAGGAAATCCCATATCATTCTACCTTTAATTATATCTTTCAGCCTTTAATAAGGCTGAAATATTATAGCTGTCTTACCATAGGTCTTCAGAGTGGAACTTTTTTCTCTCTGAAGGTCTTCCAACCAAACTGCAAGCACAGAAGAATCTGCATTCCAGAGCAAGTCATTTACCTAGCAGGGAACAAAGATCTGTCACTGGCCTTTAGCTATGCATTTACTTCAAAATCTTCATGATACCTGAATTCCTTGCCCTCACAAATCAAATAATCCCAATAGCTGAGCTGATCCCTAGCTGTAAATTACTAACTTACAAAGTCACTAAACAAATCTGTGAACTATGTCATTAAAGTAGAGGACTTTAAAAAAATAAATCTTTAAGCACTGTGCTTAGAGATTAAAAGATACTTAATCAGATACAAGATGACATTTTTAGACAATCAGAGAAATTTGAATATGGACTGGGTATAAGGTAAGGCGTAACAACAGAATTACGGTTATGTGAAGAAAAATGTTCCTAACTATCAGAAATAAATATTGAAAACATGATTTCTAGAATTAAAACTCCAGGAAATAAAATATATGTTTGTGTATGTATGCATAGGCCAGGGAGTAGTGGACAGATGAAAATAATTTTGCTAAGTGTTGTTATCTATTGGAAGTAACAAATACATGGGAGTTCATTAAACTCTTCTCTCAACTTTTAGGGTGTTTAAAATTTTACGTAATTAAAGATTACCATTTGATGTGTTTCTACTTCAGCAAGGATCTTTTCTCTTTTTTTTTTTTTTTTTTTGAGACAGAGTCTCACTCTTTTGCCTGGGCTAGAGTGCTGTGGCGTCAGCATAGCTCACAGCAACCTCAAACTCCTGGGCTCAAGCAATTCTTCTGTCTCAGCCTCCCAAGTAGCTGAAACTACAGGCATG